TTAATTTAGCCAATTTTATACAAAATTCAACAAATACCAGTTTAAAACCAGATGAAAGTAAACACTAGTCATTCCGTCCACTAAAGCAACCATTAACCCTTTGAGGGTCGACAGGCCCTCTCCGAAACTCGTTCTCAGGGTCGGCCAAATTTAAAAAAAAAAAAAATTATTTTTTCTTATGAAAAGATAGAGAATCTTTTCCCGATCATAAAGACACCAAAAGTTTGAAATTTGATAGAAAACTTACGGAATTATGCTCTCGCAAATTTAGCGGTCTCGGCGATGTTTACGCATCCGCGATTTTGCCCACTTTGAGCCCCATTTTCGGCCAATTTCACTGTACTAGTCGACAAAAAACATGAATATTTCGCTAGAACTCCATTTTTTCTATCGAATGGGTGCAAGAAACCACTCATTTATGAAATTCAACTATCCAGTACAGTGGTCAGAATTTAGCAATTTTGCCAATTTCACACAAATTTCAAAAGATGCCAATTTCGGAATAGGGTCCAGAATAAACAAGAAAGACATTCCTGGCACTAAAATGACATTTCCTCTAGTCATTATTCACGTCTCAAGGCCCCTCTTATATTCTTTTGCTTTCCACTTTGAATTTTTATTTTCACAAAAAATATAAGATTTACTGTTATGCAGACTACTGCATTAGTGTAAAAAATGATATAAATATTATTGGTGCACTTGTGAAAGAATATTAGACTCACTAGTTGACGTGTATTGCACGCTTGGCACGATTTGTTTACTTTTGAAGTTTGGTAAAAATCGAACATTTCTGCTACTTTGAGCTCAATTTCAAGGCACCTTTCTTTGTAAAACCAGTCAAAATCATCTCTATTTCTGTAATATGTCTTCCATTCTATAAAATGAGACCAAGAAAACTAGAATACAACAATAAATACCATACGAAAATACACTGCAAAGTCGCTGATTTATTCAAAAAAAATGGTCAAAGTTTTTTTTTTCTCATTATGCACTGTGTGCTGCAGGATTTTTTTTAGACTGTGCACACTGACCACATAGACCCATTCTTTCATATGAAGGCCTACCAACTTTCTCCCACTAGATTTGAGGCCGCTAGAATTTATGAGTACTAGTACGTCAAAAACCCCTACGCGTAAGACGTACTAGTACGACGAAAACCTTCAAAGGGTTAATCACGTCCTCAGGCCTCTCCTATATTACATTTCCTCTTCATTTTGAATCCATCAAAAAAAAAATTGAAGTTAATAAAATATATTTGATCATGGTTTAGGTTTTCTTAATAATTGAAGCAGATCTATTAACAACCCATAAAACAGACATGGGGGTAGTGGAGCCCCGACCCATTCTCATTAAAACAGCCATAAAGAAATTTTTTTTTTTTTTTTTTTTTTTTCAACAAGTCGGCCGTCTCCCACCGAGGCAGGGTGACCCAAAAAAGAAAGAAAATCCCCAAAAAGAAAATACTTTCATCATCATTCAACACTTTCACCACACTCGCACATTATCACTGTTTTTGCAGAGGTGCTCAGAATACAACAGTCTAGAAGCATACACATATAAAGATACACAACATATCCCTCCAAACTGCCAATATCCCAAACCCCTCCTTTAAAGTGCAGGCATTGTACTTCCCATTTCCAGGACTCAAAGTCCGACTATATGAAAAAAAACCGGGTTTTCCCCTGAATCCTTCACTAAATATTACCTGCTCACACTCCAACAGATCGTCAGGTCCCAAGTACCATTCGTCTCCATTCACCCCTATCTAACACGCTCATGCACGCTTGCTGGAAGTCCAAGCCTTACCCACAAAACCCCCTTTACCCCCTCTCTCCAACCCTTTTTCGAGGACGACCCCTACCCGCCTTCCTTCCCCTATAGATTTATATGCTTTCCAGTCATTCTACTTTGATCCATTCTCTCTAAATGACCAAACCACCTCAAAAAAACCCCTCTTCTGCCTCTGACTAATACTTTTATTAACTCCACACCTTCTCCTAATTTCCACACTCCGAATTTTCTGCATAATATTTACACCACACCCTTGCCTTAAAACAGGACATCTCCACTGCCTCCAACCGTTCTCCTCGCTGCTGCATTTACCACCCAAGCTTCAAAACCCAATAAGAGTGTTGGTACTACTATACTTTCATACATTCCCTCTTTGCCTCCATAGATAACGTTTTTTGACTCCACATATACCTCAACGCACCACTCACCTTTTTTCCCTCATCAATTTTTTATGATTAACCTATCCTTCATAAATCCATCCCCCGACACGTCAACTCCCAAATATTAAAAAATTCATTTTTCCCCATACTCCCCCCCCCAATTTGATATCCTTTTTTTCTTTATCTAATCTTTGACACCTCATCCCCTTACTTTTTTCTAGTTCACTTTAAACTTTCTTTTTTACAACATTCCCAAACTCATCCCAAACCTTTGCATTTTTTTTTTAAATCCCCATAAGCCAGTTTTATCAGAAAAAAGTAATGTGTAAATTCCATTTTGATTTGTTTCCCCAAAATTATAAAGAAAATTTTTCCCAACAATTTGGGGTTATTTAAAACCCACTTTGGTGTGAAACCAATGAAAATCATCTCCTTTCCCCTAGTATCCCTTTCCCATTCCAAGGAAACCCCCAAAAAACCCCTAAAAAAATCATCCTAAAATACCTAAAAGTCATTTTTTAAACCCCAAACACAAAGTCATGGGTTGGGTTCCATCATGCATCTGTAGGTCGGATTTTTTTTATGTATGTGCATACAAAAAGCACAGAGCGTTTTCTCAGTTAGGCCAGAGTTTTCGCACAGCTTATTGAGGACACAGTTTTAATGTGGATCTAAGAGGGGACGTGGTGGGGTTAAATTTTTTGAAATAAAATTTATCTTTTTCTGGATAGATAACATTGTAAGTGGAACCTTGGTGTTTGAATTTAAATTGGTAAATTAAGTGGGTCCAAACTGCGAAAGTTCGACGGGGGGAAAACATTTAATTTTTTCAGGCTTTTAAATTTCAGCTTCACCACTGGCGATGTCGAATCAAAATCTTCCAAAAGTCTCGAGTGTGTGTTAAATACCCGTGGTTGCAGGGTGTTTTCAGCCCTTTTGAGGGTGTGTTACATGCGTGTTGTTGCAGGTTAAAATTTTGTAACCGTATGAAGTGTGTGTATTTAAAAGTATTTTTTGAGGAGAATGTTTCCAAACTTTACAAGTTTCGTGAGAGTCTTCAAAAACTTAGGCATTTAAGATGCCCCAAAAGACCCAGCGGGGGCAACAAAGGGTACAAAGCACAATCAATAATAGCACTCAAAGGGGTTTTTTACTAAAATAATTTTGTTACCCGAGTGTTTGAAAGTATAATATAGTAAACCCGAATCTAAGAAGTTTTAAACAGTATACTTGGTGTTGACATATAAAATTTGTTCTGAGGATTTAAAATTTTTCTTTGTATTCTATTTAAAATTTTAAACTTACTGAATAGTTAACTTTTTGTGCCAGACCACCTCATTTCTGAGACCACCTTCTAAACTCGTGGTTCACTACAAACCAGACCACCTCATTTCTGAGACCTATTGTAAACTCCTGGTTCATGACAGACCAGACCACCTCATTTCTAAGACCATCTTTGACACTCATTGCAGTCTTCTGTTGACATCAGGTGATAGAATACATTCTCCTTCCCTTCCCCCAACCAAAAAAAATATTATAAGCTGTGCATTGATGACAATTTTTTTTAACACAGCACCCATGTCCCACCAAGGTACGGGGACCCAAATAAGAGGAAACACATTTACCATTACTCTTTCAATTGCTGTCTTGCCAGAAGCATGCTGATATCACAGTTCAGTTGATCTTCCAAACTGCAACAGTCTCCCACTCCTTCATAGTGCAGATACTGTACTGTCCACCATCACCCCTCCTTCACTGTGCAGCTATTGTTTCCCACCACTACCCCTTCTTCACAGTGTGGGTATTGTATTTCCCACCACCACCCCTTCTTCACAGTGTGGGTATTGTATTTCCCACCACCACTCCTCCTTCACAGTGCAGGTACTGTATTTCCCACTGCTACCCCTCCTTCACAGTATGGGTACTGTATTTCCCACCACCACCCCTCTTTCACAGTGCATATATTGTATTTCCCACTGCTACTCCTCCTTCACAGTGTGGGTAATGTATTTCCTCCCCCCCCGTCCTTCACAGTTCAGGTACTATACTTCCTGTCTCTTGGACTCAAGTCTAGCTAACATGACTGGCTAACAAGTTTCCTGAATCACCAACAGCATTGAAAAAAAATGATTGATTAATGCTTAACTCGTAAATGGTCCAAACGTATATATACGTTTTTTCAACATTTGAAAGTATGTAAAAAAAGGAGATCTTCTTTTTGTTTTTTTACATTTGAAAATGTGTAAAAAAACGTAGATCTACTTTCGTAGCACTACACATATGAACGTAGATCTGCTTGAACCGTTTACGGGTTAAAGTGAAATGTCCCAATAAATATATGTACTACATTTTTTAAATTAAAGATTGAGTCAATTTTTCTGGCATATTTTCAAATTTATTTACCATGGAACTTACACAGATGACAACAAAGAAATGAGTGAGATACTGAGGCCCCAATATGACTCTGTGTTTAGTGAGGTGTTAATCAGAGTAAGGGTTGACAATCTAAATGAATTTTTTATGTCTGAGCCCCAAAATTTGGTTAATTCAAGAATTTCTGATATTATTCTAACACCACAAGACTTTGAAAAGCAATAAATGACATACCCATGCACTCTACCCCAGGCCCAGACTCATGGAACTCCGTGTTCATCAAGAATGTGCCTTATATGGAGAAGGACCATAAACACAGAGGTCATCCCACAGTCGCTAAAAACAGCAACCATAGCTCCACTCCATTAAGGTGACAGTAAAGCAGTTGCAAAGAATTACAGACTGATAGCACTAATGTCCCACATCATAAAAATCTTTGAAAGGGTTCTAAGAAACATGATCACCAACCACTTGGACATCCAACAGTTGCACACCCCAGGGCAGCATGGGTTTGGAACAGGTCACTCCTTTCTCTCACATTTACTGGACCACAATAACATGGTCGTGGATGGTCAATCCTTCCTCTTACAACTACTCAATCAATATGACATGGTTTTTGATGCACTAGAGGACAAACAGACTTTGTGAAAGTCTTCAACAAGTACAACCATGGCTTAATAGCACACAAAATGCATGAAAAAGGAATGATAGGGAAAGTGGGTAGATGGATCTATAACTTCCTAACAAACAGAACACAGAGTAATAGCAAACAGAGTAAAGTGCACAAGGCTGTGGGGGCATTGACCCCCAAAACCCTCTCCAGGTATACTCCAGGTATACTATGTAGATCAGTTTGCAGAATTATTTTTAAAAATGCATTTTGTTTTTGTTTTAGATCAAGTCAGTCCTGACCTCAAGGGGGAGCTGCATTTCTTAAGAGGTCGCGCTCTCAATGCCACAGCAGAGTACAGTGCCGAAGCTGAAGAAGTGTTGGGCCGGGCCACTCGCTTCAACCTTCCCAGTGCCTGGAATGAGCTGGGAGAGTGCCAGTATAAGAAGGGTGATCTCACTGGAGCTCTCACATGCTTTGAGAAGGCACTCAGACTGGTCAGTGTGGACACTTGTTATACACAAATAGCCTCCCTTTAGGAGAGGGAAAGTAATCACAATGTTTTCAGTCTGACTTGAACCATTGACAAGTTATCAGTGGTCTAAGTCGAACGGAAATGTCAGCATTACTCTTTGTTCTTTGTCAGTTGTTATTTGGTATTTTTTAATTTTGTGTAAAAATGGCCAGATTATTGACTTCTTTGCACCATATTGGGTAGATGAAGTAGTTGAATGGGCAGTTTATTGTGCTTGATCAGTTAATCTTAAGTTAATTTTAAGTTCGCCCAAAATGCTTTGCATGTAAAGGGGCTTTTGGCATGTACACCCAAATGTCATTCTCCTTTGTACAAACATTGTATCATGCTGAAATAAAATGATTATTATTATTATTAATGGAAGGCATACTAGCAAAATGGCTAAGGATTTGGTCATAAGGAGTAATGGAATTGACTTAAAATATGACTCAGAGTGGACAAAGTCACCAATGCGATAAATCCACTGAGACTGCTAATTTTGTGCCTGTGTAATTCCACAATTTTTATTTTATCAAATTTCATGCTCTTGGTGTCATTACCTTCAGAAAAAGATTCTCTTCCAATTCAGAAGAAAAAATTAATTTTCTCAGTGGACACTGAGAGCAATATTAATTTTGGGGGTTTGGACAGTGGAAGGGTTAATAATTATAATTATTAATAATGATAATGGGCATTAATTTACATTCCTTAACCCCTTGAGGGTCAGTGCTGTAGTTATACGATTTGAACTCTGGGTCCGTGCTGTAGAACTACGTCTATAACATTCAGTTACATTATTTACTTCTTTAGGAGAGATATAAATAATGGAACCGAATGTTGTAGGAATGCAGTTAGAAGCCTGAGTAGATCTGTTACCCACTATACGATAACATGGACATAGATAAGTACGTTTATGGAGCAATTTGCAATATGAACAGACTGACTGATGTTGTAGTGGCAAGGTTTAGGCTTGGTTACAAGTACTGACTGATGTTGTAGTGGCAAGGTTTAGGCTCGGTTACAAGTACTTCTGGCAGTTTGGTAGACACACAGATGATGATCAAACTAAATGCAAAGTATGTGATCAGCTCTATGGTCTCTATCTTAAACATTATGTGCTTAATTGTCCACATATTGAGGGATATAGAGATAGTATAATGTGATATATCAAGATATTAATGAAAATAAGATACCAGATATATTAAGCAGGTTTCCTAAATCTGCTTGTAACATATAAGTGAACTTTTTTTTTTTTTTTTTTCAACAAGTCGGCCGTTTCCCACCGAGGCAGGGTGACCCAAAAAAAAGAAAGAAAATCCCCAAAAAGAAAAATACTTTCATCATCATTCAACACTTTCACCACACTCGCACATTATCACTGTTTTTGCAGAGGTGCTCAGAATACAACAGTCCAGAAGCATACACATATAAAGACACACAACATATCCCTCCAAACTGCCAATATCCCAAACCCCTCCTTTAAAGTGCAGGCATTGTACTTCCCATTTCCAGCACTCAAGTCCGACTATATGAAAATAACCGGTTTCCCTGAATCCCTTCACTAAATATTACCCTGCTCACACTCCAACAGATCGTCAGGTCCCAAGTACCATTTGTCTCCATTCACTCCTATCTAACACGCTCATGCACGCTTGCTGGAAGTCCAAGCCCCTCCTGTTTTTAGGTAGTAGGTTGGTAGACAGCAACCGCCCAGGGAGGTACTACCGTCCTGCCATGTGAGTGTAAAACGAAAGTCTGTAATTGTTTACATGATGGTAGGATTGCTGGTGTTCTTTTTTCTGTCCCATAAACATGCAAGATTTCAGGTACATCTTGCTACTTCTACTTACACTTAGGTCACACTACACATACATGTACAAGCATATATATATACATGCCTCTGGGTTTTCTTCTATTTTTTTCTAGTTCTTGTTCTTGTTTATTTCCTCTTATCTCCATGGGGAAGTGGAACAGAATTCTTCCTCCGTAAGCCATGCGTGTCGTAAGAGGTGACTAAAATGCCGGGAGCAAGGGGCTAGTAACCCCTAGTTACTAGATACACAAAAGGCCTAGTTCCTAGGCCTTTTGTGTATCCATATGCTCTTGCACTACCATCCACAGGATGGATATGGGGTGCACAATAAACTAGCCACTTCGGTGGCAAAATCTAAAAATCTAGTCTTGAAGAAGGTTCTCCGTAACTTTGTCTTGATGAATCTGTCATCAAAATAAACATACTCAGGTGCAGCACATTTGTCCAAATCATCAAAATCTAAATTAAATCACAAAATACAGTAGTTATTTTCTTCAAACAGGCGCAGGACAAGGTGTATTATCGCAACATGTCAATGTTGATGAGGAGTTTACCCTGGAAGACAAGTAATGAAAGAGAAGAAAATATTGAAAAGGTAAGATCATTGTTGAACACAATAAGTGTCATGATTTATACACAGGATAATGCAGTAAACACTCCATATAACCCACTTCTGTATAACAGAAATTGGCAATACTGAACAAAATACTCTGGGTCAGTCAATTTGGAAATGGTGGACAAGGGCTTTTGATTACTGAATTGTCCATTATTGTTGCTATCACGGCTTGACGATCTCTCTTCTATCCTCCACAGCTGCCATCATCGGCTACCCCCTTTTCCCCCAGTTAGTCCATTATATGGAGGGTTTACTTTATTACCAGTACAGGAGGCCTCGCATATACAGTACCTCTTTTCTGTGTTCCACAATTTTGTCGGTTTTCAACAGAGCCATTGTTCATTACATTCAGTGCTTGTTCTGCTGTTTTCACACAACAGCTGCATAAGGAAAGAGCGACTGCCACCATACTTTAAGGTGAGTATTGTATGTATTGTGTATTTATTTTACTTTTGTACTCTGTATTTTGTGGCCTATTAGATGCATTTTTTCCATGAAATGTCTCCAAAAACCAGCTTGCATCCTATAAACTGAAGGTCAGTGACGGGAGCTATAAGATTGGGGTGTGGGGTCGGCTGCAGCTCTCCCAGTTACGTCTGATACTGAGCCATTGAAACTAAAACAAGGTTTATAAGCCACGAAATGCAGTATGTTTATTTGATGCCTAGCTGTATTGAGCATTTAATATTTGGTAGTGTAAACATATTATCAGGTGTTTTAGATACATTTGATATTCAAAAATCGCTCATTTCCACCCACTGGTGATTTTCATTTATTGCCCAGGATTGGCAGCCAAACAGCCATAAAAATGGAGCCTTCCTGTACTTGAAATTGCAGAATTTCACACCTGTTTTGTGAGTAGTGTATACTAATGAAATTAGCCGAAAATAGGGCTCAAAGTGGGCGGAATCGCCGATTCGTAAATATCGCCGAGGTTGCTAAATTCGCAAGAGCATAATTCTGTCAGTTTTCCATCAAATTTCGTCCTTTTGGTGTCATTACAATCGGGAAAAGATTCTCTATCATTTCATAAGAAAAAATAATTTTTTTTTTTTTAAATTTTGAGACACCAGGAGACACCTCAGGATTTGGGGTTGCGACAGTCAAGGGGTTAAGTTGAGGTGGTGTGCTTGACGTACATGTGTTGTGGCGGAGGCTGAAAGTTGACCTGGACATGAAGAAACATCTACAATACTGTTATTATAAGAACACTTCACTGTAAAGGACCTCTGTCTAGCTTTCTTTTTCCTCCAGTCAAACATTGTTGTGATAATTATACTGTAGTAGTAATATATACACTGTAGTAGTAATGTATATAATATACATCCTAGCTTATGTACAACCTTGTATGTATTACATATTAAGGTATCAACTTTACAGTTCTGTACAGTTTGTTTCAAGAGTTTGATATTTTTATTTGAATTAATGTTACACTGAAGCGTAATGTTTGTTATATCTCTTATCATCTATTAGTCTCAAGTTCTGTCTTGCCTGAAATACACATGGATACTCTCCAATATCATCCAGTCTTAGAAAATTATATACGAACCTAACTTGCTGTATAAGTGGGGCTCTCCTGTACAGCAGTAGTCTGGAACCTAACTTGCTGTATAAGTGGGGCCCTCCTGTACAGCAGTAGTCTGGAACCTAACTTGCTGTAGAAGTGGGGCCCCTCATGTACAGCAGCAGTCTGGAACCTAACTTGCTGTATAAGTGGGGCTCTCCTGTACAGCAATAGCCTGGAACCTAACTTGCTGTATAAGTGGGGCTCTCCTGTACAGCAGTAGCCTGGAACCTAACTTGCTGTATAAGTGGGGCCCTCCTGTACAGCAGTAGCCTGGAACCTAACTTGCTGTATAAGTGGGGCCCTCCTGTACAGCAGTAGCCTGGAACCTAACTTGCTGTATAAGTGGGTCCTCCTGTACAGCAGTAACCTGGAAACTAACTTGCTGTATAAGTGGGGCCCTCCTGTACAGCAGTAGTCTGGAAACTAACCTGCTGTATAAGTTGGGTCCTCCTGTACAGCAGTAGCCTGGAAACTAACTTGCTGTATAAGTTGGGTCCTCCTGTACAGCAGTAGCCTGGAAACTAACTTGCTGTATAAGTTGGGTCCTCCTGTACAGCAGTAGCCTGGAAACTAACTTGCTGTATAAGTGGGGCCCTCCTGTACAGCAGTAGCCTGGAAACTAACTTGCTGTATAAGTTGGGTCCTCCTGTACAGCAGTAGCCTGGAACCTAACTTGCTGTATAAGTGGGGCCCTCCTGTACAGCAGTAGCCTGGAACCTAACTTGCTGTATAAGTGGGTCCTCCTGTACAGCAGTAACCTGGAAACTAACTTGCTGTATAAGTGGGGCCCTCCTGTACAGCAGTAGTCTGGAAACTAACCTGCTGTATAAGTTGGGTCCTCCTGTACAGCAGTAGCCTGGAAACTAACTTGCTGTATAAGTTGGGTCCTCCTGTACAGCAGTAGCCTGGAAACTAACTTGCTGTATAAGTTGGGTCCTCCTGTATAGCAGTAGCCTGGAAACTAACTTGCTGTATAAGTGGGGCCCTCCTGTACAGCAGTAGCCTGGAAACTAACTTGCTGTATAAGTTGGGTCCTCCTGTACAGCAGTAGCCTGGAAACTAACTTGCTGTATAAGTTGGGTCCTCCTGTACAGCAGTAGCCTGGAAACTAACTTGCTGTATAAGTGGGGCCCTCCTGTACAGCAGTAGCCTGGAAACTAACTTGCTGTATAAGTTGGGTCCTCCTGTACAGCAGTAGTCTGGAAACTAACTTGCTGTATAAGTTGGGTCCTCCTGTACAGCAGTAGCCTGGAAACTAACCTGCTGTATAAGTTGGGTCCTCCTGTACAGCAGTAGCCTGGAAACTAACCTGCTGTATAAGTTGGGTCCTCCTGTACAGCAGTAGCCTGGAAACTAACCTGCTGTATAAGTTGGGTCCTCCTGTACAGCAGTAGCCTGGAAACTAACTTGCTGTATAAGTGGGGCCCTCCTGTACAGCAGTAGCCTGGAAACTAACTTGCTGTATAAGTTGGGTCCTCCTGTACAGCAGTAGCCTGGAACCTAACTTGCTGTATAAGTGGGGCCCTCCTGTACAGCAGTAGCCTGGAACCTAACTTGCTGTATAAGTGGGTCCTCCTGTACAGCAGTAACCTGGAAACTAAACTTGCTGTATAAGTGGGGCCCTCCTGTACAGCAGTAGTCTGGAAACTAACCTGCTGTATAAGTTGGGTCCTCCTGTACAGCAGTAGCCTGGAAACTAACTTGCTGTATAAGTTGGGTCCTCCTGTACAGCAGTAGCCTGGAAACTAACTTGCTGTATAAGTTGGGTCCTCCTGTATAGCAGTAGCCTGGAAACTAACTTGCTGTATAAGTGGGGCCCTCCTGTACAGCAGTAGCCTGGAAACTAACTTGCTGTATAAGTTGGGTCCTCCTGTACAGCAGTAGCCTGGAAACTAACTTGCTGTATAAGTTGGGTCCTCCTGTACAGCAGTAGCCTGGAAACTAACTTGCTGTATAAGTGGGGCCCTCCTGTACAGCAGTAGCCTGGAAACTAACTTGCTGTATAAGTTGGGTCCTCCTGTACAGCAGTAGTCTGGAAACTAACTTGCTGTATAAGTTGGGTCCTCCTGTACAGCAGTAGCCTGGAAACTAACCTGCTGTATAAGTTGGGTCCTCCTGTACAGCAGTAGCCTGGAAACTAACCTGCTGTATAAGTTGGGTCCTCCTGTACAGCAGTAGCCTGGAAACTAACCTGCTGTATAAGTTGGGTCCTCCTGTACAGCAGTAGCCTGGAAACTAACTTGCTGTATAAGTTGGGTCCTCCTGTACAGCAGTAGCCTGGAAACTAACCTGCTGTATAAGTTGGGTCCTCTGTACAGCAGTAGCCTGGAAACTAACTTGCTGTATAAGTTGGGTCCTCCTGTACAGCAGTAGCCTGGAAACTAACTTGCTGTATAAATGAGGGCAGCAGGTTAGGTTCCAGGCTGCTGTTTTAAAGCAAAAATTGCTGTAAAGTGAATCACAGCCTTTTCTTCACTTTCAAATGCATATAAAAGCCTGATACTATGTTTACACTCTCAAATGTTAAGTGTGCAATAAAACTAGGTCTAAAAAGTGCATATTCAATACACACATTGCTTATTGGAAATGGAAATGGAAATATAAACACATATGCAGTATATAGAGGGGCAACTGATATATCGGATCATTATTTAGTTGTAGCTACAGTTAGAGTAAGAGGTAGATGGGAAAAGAGGAAGGTGGCAACAACAAGTAAGAGGGAAGTGAAAGTGTATAAACTAAGGGAGGAGGAAGTTCGGGTGAGATATAAGCGACTATTGGCAGAAAGGTGGGCTAGTGCAAAGATGAGTAGTGGGGGGGTTGAAGAGGGTTGGAATAGTTTTAAAAATGCAGTATTAGAATGTGGGGCAGAAGTTTGTGGTTATAGGAGGGTGGGGGCAGGAGGAAAGAGGAGTGATTGGTGGAATGATGAAGTAAAGGGTGTGATAAAAGAGAAAAAGGTAGCTTATGAGAGGTTTTTACAAAGCAGAAGTGTTATAAGAAGAGCAGAGTATATGGAGAGTAAAAGAAAGGTAAAGAGAGTGGTGAGAGAGTGCAAAAGGAGAGCAGATGATAGAGTGGGAGAGGCACTGTCAAGAAATTTTAATGAAAATAAGAAAAAATTTTGGAGTGAGTTAAACAAGTTAAGAAAGCCTAGGGAAAATATGGATTTGTCAGTTAAAAACAGAGTAGGGGAGTTAGTAGATGGGGAGATGGAGGTATTGGGTAGATGGCGAGAATTTTTGAGGAACTTTTAAATGTTAAGGAAGAAACAGAGGCAGTAATTTCATGCACTGGTCAGGGAGGTATACCATCTTTTAGGAGTGAAGAAGAGCAGAATGTAAGTGTGGGGGAGGTACGTGAGGCATTACGTAAAATGAAAGGGGGTATAAAGCAGCTGGAACTGATGGGATCATGACAGAAATGTTAAAAGCAGGGGGGGATATAGTGTTGGAGTGGTTGGTACTTTTGTTTAATAAATGTATGAAAGAGGGGAAGGTACCTAGGGATTGGCAGAGAGCATGTATAGTCCCTTTATATAAAGGGAAAGGGGACAAAAGAGACTGTAAAAATTATAGAGGAATAAGCTTACTGAGTATACCAGGAAAAGTGTACGGTAGGGTTATAATTGAAAGAATTAGAGGTAAGACAGAATGTAGGATTGCGGATGAGCAAGGAGGTTTTAGAGTGGGTAGGGGATGTGTAGATCAGGTGTTTACTTTTGAAGCATATATGTGAACAGTTTTTTAGATAAAGATAGGGAAGTTTTTTTGCATTTATGGATTTAAAAAAGGGCATATGTAGAGTGGATAGAGGAGCAATGTGGCAGAGGGTTGCAAGTATATGGAATAGGTGGTAAGTTATTAAATGCTGTAAAGAGTTTTTATGAGGATAGTGAGGCTCAGGTTAGGGTGTGTAGAAGAGAGGGAGACTATTTCCCCGGTAAAGTAGGTCTTAGACAGGGATGTGTAATGTCACCATGGTTGTTTAATATATTTATAGATGGGGTTTGTAAAGGAAGTAAATGCTAGGGTGTTTGGGAGAGGGGTGGGGATTAAATTAGGGGGATCAAATTCAAAATGGGAATTGACACAGTTACTTTTTGCTGATGATTACTGTGCTTATGGGAGATTCTAAAGAAAAATTGCAAAGGTTAGTGGATGAGTTTGGGAATGTGTGTAAGGGGTAGAAAGTTGAAAGTGAACATAGAAAAGAGTAAGGTGATGAGGGTGTCAATGATTAGTTTAAAGAAAAAATTGGATATAAAATTGGGGAGGAGGAGTAGGGAAGAAGTGAATGTTTTCAGATACTTGGGATTTGTTGGGTTCGGCGGATGGATTTATGAAGGATGAGGTTAATCATAGAATTGATGAGGGAAAAAAGGTGAGTGGTGCGTTGAGGTATATGTGGAGTAAAAAAAACGTTATCTATGGAGGCAAAGAAGGGAATGTATGAAAGTATAGTAGTACCAACACTCTTATATGGGTGTGAAGCTTGGGTGGTAATGCAGCAGCGAGGAGACGGTTGGAGGCAGCGGAGGATGTCCTGTTTAAGGGCAATGTGTGGTGTAAAATATTATGCAGAAAATTCGGGTGTGGAAATTAGGAGAAGGTGTGGAGTTAATAAAAGTATTAGTCAGAGGGCAGAAGAGGGGTTGTTGAGGTGGTTTGGTCATTTAGAGAGAATGGATCACAGTAGAATGACATGGAAAGATATAAATCTATAGGGGGGAAAGGGGGGCGGGGTAGGGGTCGTCCTCGAAAAGGGTTGGAGAGGGGGGTAAAGGAGGTTTTGTGGGTAAGGGGCTTGGACTTCCAGCAAGCGTTTCGTGAGCGTGTTAGATAGGAGTGAATGGAGACGAATGGTACTTGGGACCTGACGATCTGTTGGAGTGTGAGCAGGGTAATATTTAGTGAAGGGATTCAGGGAAACCCGGGTTTTTTTCATATAGTCGGATTGAGTCTGGAAATGGGAAGTTACAATGCCTGCACTTTAAAAGGGGGGGTTTGGGATATTGGCAGTTTGGAGGGATATGTTGTGTATCTTTATATGTTTATGCTTCTAGACTGTTGTATTCTGAGCACCTCTGCAAAAACGTGATAATGTGCGAGTGTGGTGAAAGTGTTGAATGATGATGAAAAATATTTTCTTTTTGGGGATTTTCTTTCTTTTTGGGTCACCCTGCCTCGGTGGGAGACGGCCGACTTGTTGAAAAAAAAAAAAAAAAAAAAAAAAAAATGCAGTATAATGTGATCCTTTATTGACTACGTTTCGTCCACCCCAGTGGGCTTTTCAAGTCACAAACAGAATACCTGGGGTGGAAGGAACGCGAGTATTTATAGTCAGGTTCAGAGTGCTGAGGTCAGGTGGAGAATGCTGCATCTGATGATGTACCGAGTGGGGTTATAGAGTCTAAAATCTTGGGTAGCTTGGAAAGGAGATTGGACAAGTTTATACCATTTATTTCCACATTGCTTATTCTTCTTCCACCGCACTGGTATATGCTGCCGAGGCGGGTGGCGCAAATATAAAAATAAAAAGTTTCTCTTTTAAACTTCAGTAATGTATATGGAAGAAGGGGTTACTAGCCCTTTGCTCCCGGCATTTTGGTTGGCTCTTATGATACACATGACTTCAGAGGAAGAGAATTCTGTTCTACTTCCCCATGGAGATAAGAGGAAATAAACAAGAACAAGAACTAGTAAGAAAATAGAAGAAAACCCTAAAGGCTGTACATATATATATTTGCTTGTACGTGCATGTGTAGTGTGACCTAAGTGTAAGTAGAAGTAGCAAGATGTACAGTGGAACCTCGGTTTTCGCATGCCCTAGCTTTTGTACGATTCGGTTTTCGACGACTTTTTTTGTCAAATTTTTTTCCCAGTTTTCATACATCCGCTCAGTTTTTGTACAGTTGAAAATCGTCTGTACCAAACTCCTCCACCTGCCCGCGTGACTCAGCCACTCATTTCCAGGAATCGAGCGCCCCCCCACAAAACATCCCATTCGTTTCTGATTTTGAAGGGTTGAGGCTGACCCTGATGACCCTATCATTTTTTAAATTATTTTCTTTAACATTTTAAATT